CTGAAAATGTGGCTCTGCCGGCAATAACCATTTCTGAAATGTGGCTCTCCCGGCTAGACACCGATGTGACGGGACTAAAGAAGAGAATGTGATCATACGACAACCGGAAACTCGTAATTAAATTCATATCTTCAATGAAGACCTTCAAAACATTCACAAAGGACGTTTGCAAGCGGACGCTTTAGTATTCATAGCCCATGTCAGCCTGTGTGTGTGTGGGCAGCCCTCGGCGACATAGTTCAAATTTCGAGATTTCGAAACATTATTTTTTCATTTTTACTTCCTTAGCGTGGACAACTAATGGTCCCAATGAAATCAGCAAAGATGAATTTGGCCACAGCATGGAGCGTTTCTGGACAAATGGGTTTCCAGAATTAAATTAATGTAATGAACCTACATAACATATTTCATCTTTGGATTAACAATATAATGCTTATTGAATATAGTTCAAGTTACAACTTTGTTATAATGTGGAACATATTTGTCTTCGCTGCAGTTAGGGGCAGAAGGAGACAAGAGCATTCCAGGAAATACACACAGAAATGTTAGGAGTATTGAGGAATACACCAAATACACCAGGGGCTGTGAATGATACAAACGTAAGTGCAGAAACTGTTGTTAAATACCATGAGCTACTTGATCAAGTATCTTTAGGTGGTTTGGGGCTTTAAATTAATGCTAAGAATTGGATTTGTATCTGCACTCAGCCATTGGCCGTAAAGTGGGTTGGGGTGTTCCTGGTGTACCACTTTTTGTATTCAATGTGACGCATGATACTGTTATATATAATATATATATATATATATATATATATATATATATATATATATATATATATATAAAATACCTGCTTTAGATTTTTTCAGAATTTGTTGTATGTTTCAGGAAAGTGGATCAAGGCAAAACCAAAGAAAGAATATTCTGACAATCAATAATTGTAAAGTTTTCTAAAAATATTAAAATTTCCACAGAACTGAGTCTTGAAGTTCTTTGTTGATTGAATGTTGAAGACATGGCATGGATTACCATGTCGGTCATTGGTATTGTGTTTTCTGCAGTACATGCCTGAGGGGTGTACTGTCCCTGACTATTTGTATCTTGTGACTGGGTGTTGTACGTTTTGAACATTGGCAGCAAAACACTGAGCTTTACCAACACTCGTTCGTTTTCAAAACATTTTAGAAACGTTATAACCAAATGTTCACAGAATTTTTTTTAAACGTTTCTGGAACCAGACAAAATCACATGAATAAAACGTTTTTAAAAGCATTTCTGCAATATTTTACAAAAACATTTTTGAAACGTTATAACCAAATGTTTCAAGAAAATGTTTCTAAAACCATACAAAATCACGTGAAGAAAACATTTTTTTAAACATTTCCAGAACGTTTCGTCAAATGTTTTAGGGATGTTTTTATAACAGTTTCGCGTTAACTGGGCTACTCGTGATCTATAAAGATTTCGACAAAGGGCGCATGTTAATTAATTTCGGATTTCGGATTGCGTGGATAATAGATTACTGCTCCCTTGTCATCCACGTTTTCTGGTATACTCTACACTTGAGTCTTTGTCGCCATTCACTTGCTGCTCAGTTAATGAATTTATTACAGGTGTAATGAGTGATAAAGGTTCCCATTTGGCATTTCTGGTGTCTGGGGTAATTATTCAATCTAAATCAAAGTTTGAAGTGAGGTGAAATGTGTATGATGTAATATGCACGTGGCAGCCCAGCAAGAGATGAATGATCAGTTAATTTACTTTTTTGTAAATCAACGGATCATTCCTAGCCATCGAAGGATTAACAGAAAATACGTTGATTGATTAATCACTGTTATCATGCAGAGTGGATATGTCAAAAGTAAGTGTTTACATGTCTAGGTTTACTAAAGCAAAGGGAATACACTCATATCATGGCGTGAAGTGCCGATGTAAAAACAACATACTTTGTTCAAAGGGTTAACCGATAATACGTTCAATGATTGCTCATTGTTATCTAACGCAAAGGATTTTTTTTAAGAACAGTGGACATTATGAAAATAGTTGTCACGCTGGCTTTCTCAGCTGACCTTTGAGACTTGACAACCACATGAAACACCTGAAACAAACTAAGTGATCAGTTGAGAAACGAATACGGGTTATAATATGCCGACACGATATATATATTTAGTTTAAAATATTTGATTGTTACAGAGACACGTGACATCGAATAAGTTTCATTGTACAGCTGCAGACGTGTGGTATATTGTTCCTTTATGTGGATATTCACGGATACATTCCTCGAACAAGGAAGCTGCCTAAAATTATACATATAAATTCGGTTGGTTGTTATTATGATATTTGCATTTTGTTTTCCTTCATTTGCTGTGGCATTGAATAGATTCATTCTTGTTCCTCTACGTCTTGGTTGGGAAGTTCTTCGATGCGCGATTCACGTTGTTTTCACAAGTCTTTTTCTTTGTAAACGTGTATATATTACAGCCAATTTGTGAAATGTGATTCTCTCAGGCAATTTATAAAATGTCTAAATATTTCATTTCATTTGACTGAAAATGGGGTCCATTTATTTAAATGATTTAGACGGTCAAAAGGGCTTTAGAGCACCACAATGTATGCTAGGATTAGAAGCCAAACAACATAGAAACAAACAATATAGAAATGTACTTTTAATCCTAACATTTTCAGTCTCTTGAAACATAAAAAATGTTTGGAATTCGCTATCATAACAATACAGATTGACAGTTTTCAGTCAATTTATGAAATAACTGACTATAATAAGTGAACATATATAATATATATATATATATATATATACCAAAATGAGGCAAATGTTCACTCGGTGTACATGTAATATGTAATAAAAGAATAAAGTCCACGTTACTCCAACAACTTCTTTATATCAGTTTCAGACATGGTACTTTCACTGTCTCATGACAGCTCTTCAGTGAAACTGACAATAACATATGAATGACTGCGACGTCATAATGTATTTACACACTCCAGCGACGACACCAAGTAATTTAACAATTGTAGGGAGACATTTGAATTAAAATATACAGTATTTTTAACAGTTACACTAATTCAAATATATATATATATATATATAAGTAGGTATATATATATATATATAAACACGATAAAATAAGCAATGCTCAGTGAAATATTTACTTTGTGTTGCAAGTTAAAATAGTGTGAACGAAAATCGCATAATTTCCAAGCAAGTGACTTATTAAAACTTCGTCACCATTACCGATGCTACCCACCGAGATACCTACATTTCCTTATTATTTCCAAAAATGTATTTCATTTTGTTGATCAATGTGACCATACGCCCTTACACTATCAATAAAAGTGACAAAAGCGCTTCCGAATGGCGTAGCACAGGTCGCGAACTTGTCTAGATTTCTGCTGTATCATCCGGGTACTCACGGGGGAAAAACAATAACAAAGTCAACAACCAGTCCTAGGGAATTGCTTTAGATCAGTGCCCCATTTAAAACGAATATGTCCGCAATACACAAACAATCACTTCATTACTGGCGAACATTTACCAACCCGCGACAACCGTGTCCACTCGGGGGTTATCCCAGCAATAAACTCTCATCTAAATTCACTACTGTTCTACTGTCGGCTAGCCACAATGGCTAGACTGGACCCTCGTGGAATGGTTCATGCCATAAAAGTCCAGCAACAGAACACTAATTAAGACGGGCCGACCTTGTGTTTATGGTCTGGCGAACACAGGTCAATGACCACTAATTAACTCAAGATTCACATCTCACTGTTTTGATTTTTCTCACTTTTCATTTGACATATTTGTCAAATTCGACTGAAACCCGATCCGTGTTACACGCATGACACACGCTTGCTCCACGGGTTGCACACGCGCTGCACACCCGTTGCACACGCGTGTCCAACGGGTGCTCAACCCGTGTGCAACCCGTTGAGCAAGCGTGTCACATGCGTGGTACACGCGTTTTTAACGCGTGTTAGGGGAATGAACTTCTAGGCAGTAGTGTAGGGTAGACAGTCAGTGCATTCAGCCATGACCTATGGTGTTTTAAGGTGTGTGTCAAATGGGACGTGTAACTAATGGGAAGATACCCTCTTTTTTACTGGATGATCCTCTATTAAAAAGGTTAAAATACTGGTTGCCTAGAAATACTCTAGAGATAATATATAAAGTCTTTCATATTCGATTTTCGATTATTGTCATCATATTTAGGACAATTGCGCACACAAACAGTCTCTGTTACGACTGCATTTGGACGCGCTAAGAAATATTTGTGATGCGGTTCCTCGCACTAATCATGATAAACTTTCTAAAGAAACAAGTTTCATATCTCTCAAAGAAGATGCCGTTTCAAATTGAAAACAGTTTATCAAATGCAAACGGTTATTGCACCTGAATATCTCGGTGATATCCTTCCAAAGTCTCAATTGATAGCAATTATAACCTTAGAGATGAATCAAAATTAAAACAATCAACCAAATTGTCACGGAGGTAAATGAAAGACACGCGACGCTACGAGAAAACAGTCCGTTAAATAGACAAAACGCTTTGAACGTTCTATAAACGCAGGGTTGTTATTGATGATCGCGAGACACTCCATATAGCGGTAAAACAACAATTACACAGAATAACATTGACATAATGTCAATATAACTTGATAAAAAAATCTCTAAAACAAATATGGGAAACTCCACGACGTCTTTTAATCGGATATGTCCATTCACAGAACTCATGAAGTATTTACAGTAAACTACGGTTATAACGAACTCAAAGGGACTACTAATTTTAGTTCGTTATAACCGTAATTCGTTATAAGCGAGTTCGTTATAACCATAGTTTCCTGTATCTTGAAATGTAAGCATACCCACTTTTTTCTCATACCGGCTATAATATCATGATATTTTAAAGACTCTTTCAAAAGCATAATAAATCATAATATTTAATGTTAAAGGCTAAAAAATATGTTATTAATATTTGGACACATACGTACCCTGAATGCAGCACAAGCATGCCCACAGCGTCAGTAGAAGATTCCGAGCCATGATTCGTGGTCACAGGCAGTGGTTGTAGGACAGTAGGGCCCAATATCAGCAAGCTAGTCTTGCATTACCGTTGGTTTCTGTGTTCTGACATGTAGAGTTAGGTTTCGTGGTCTTTTGTTCCATTTGCACCTCAAAGATCACGCTACAGTGATTTGCAATACTTGAATAACTTCCTGCTGTTGCCTCACAGGGAACGTCTAGCAAATATCCATATATTATCCCGTCAGTGTAGTCATACACAATTTAATACTCTTTTGTGGCACGGTGGCACTTTTATGGTTAAGTGCGTTAAGTACCTGTGTTGATGTTAGATGGTCACCACTAATATATGAACTGATTGAGCAAATTATGAGGTGAGGTGAGGTGAAATGGGGTTTAACGTCGCGTCCAAGATTAGTGCACGTGTGTGTGTGTGTGTGTGTGTGTGTGTGTGTGTGTGTGTGTGTGGCTGCTTGTACTAGTCCAGATTTGTTTCTACCTCGTAAAACGTATCCGATTAGACACTTAGTTCCACTCAAACGCCTTTACATTATCAATTGAAATGTAAACGCGTAAGGAAAAAAGTGACACGAAAACATGAACAAGGAAAACTCATAGTCGCTCTTGGGATTAATTACCTTAAAGCTCTAGATGACGTGTTATTTTTCTGACGCATATTTTCTAAGTTCTGAAAAGTTGTACAAGACTTGCGGTCACGCGGGACTGGATCTACTTCTAACTTTAACATGTAGAATATTAAATATCCTACCTGAGAGTGTAAACACTTTAGCGCCGCATTTTGATGTGCATACCCAGTTCACGCACTCTCTAATTTTATTAATACTGGGGTGTCGAACCCGAATATATGACTTTACTTGACTATTGTACTGCCCTAATATAATTGTGAAGTGTTTTTTAGCATAGAACTGGCTTATACTGTACTCACAGCGAGACGGGATCTGAAGATGATATCATGTTCATATGTGTATAGGCCAGGGTAACAATATATTCAAATTATCTCAGGCTAACGAGATAATAGAGCTACATGTACCAACAACGTCTAAGAGGCGACTAACGGGATCGGGTGGTCAGGCTCGCTGATTTGGTTGATGCATGTCATCGTATCCCAATTGCGTGGATCGATGCGCATGACGTCAATCACTGGATTATCTGGTCCAGACTCGATTATTTACAGACCACCGTCATATAGCCGGAATATTGCTGAGTGTGGCGTTAAACAACAAATAAACAAAACCAACACCGCCAATCAAACCTGAAAGTGTGAGCGACTCGCCAATCAGAGCGCCATACTTCTTGTGCGACCTTGACCGAAGGACAACTGCAAATGCATGTGCGGGTAAGGGTATAAAACGATTGCAACGGCAAGTCAGACATCCACAGTGATAAAAAATCACTAAAGAAATGCCACGACTCACAGTCGAACAACGTGAACGAGCCTTGGGTATGGTACAGATGGGGGCCACCCACGCCCATATTGCACGAACCTTCGGTTGCTCCCGTGTTGCCGTTACCAACTTGATGCAACGTTACAGACAGACAGGGCGGACCGATGACAGACCAAGAACAGGCAGACCCAGGGTGACCACGCCCCATGATGACCGGACTAGCAACTGAGTACAAGAAGAAGACGTAGTACGGATGTTCTTGGACGCGCAGCAGCCCTGTCGGTGCTGTAGTTCCACAAAGTAGTTGTGTGGCCCGATGCCATCGCCGACAGCCCTGTAGTTGTTAAGGTCCTCTCCCTCGTGGACTATGTCACCTCTTCTTGGACTGAAGGAAACCAGCTCTCCTTTGAACTTTGAGACCAGTTCGGTAACAACAACCGCCGGACCAACATCAACAATAACTGTCTAATGGCATTCTAGAAGTTGGCAAATAAGTAAGAAAAACGTACAACTTTATAGATAACAACTTCTGGTTTATTGCATATAGCGACGTTTCGATGTTGATTATTACACAGTTATCAAGCTCGAGTGACAACAACCAAGTGATGAGAGGTATACATGCATGACATGTCGTGATAAGCAGCAGATTAACATTGACAACAACGGTTATAGATAACAAGTAGATAATTTAATGAAGTACAGTACAACAACAACAACAACAACAAAACGTTTATTCGCTTCAAGGTCACAGCTGTGACATATTGAATTGTTTGTTTGTTTGTTGTTTAACGCCGCACTCAGCAATTTTCCAGCTATATGCAACGGTCTGTAAATAATGGAATCTGGACCAGACAATCCAGTGATCGACATCATGAGCATCGATCCACGCAATTTGGATACGATGACATGCATCAATCAAGTCGGTCCCGTTAGTCGCCTCTTACGACAAGCATGGGTTGTTGAAAACCAATTCTAACCCGGAATCTTCACGGGACTGTGACATATTGAAGGTACAAGTGAAGCTACATGACGTGACACCAGGCACGAGGCAGACGTGCGTCGACGTCAGCTGTGCATCACACTCGTACGTGTATTCCTTTTACAAAATTAGCTAGGTTTCTTTGTTCTAATACACTTTCTGTATTTAAGCAACATATCAAATCATACCGCACTAGGTCTTGTAAAATACTTCTTTTGTGTATAGAACTTACGCAAGAAATGCAGAAAAGGACATATTAGTAGATAGTGATATTCGTCATCTATATTACAGTGACTGCAAATTCTGTCTTCCCGTTGAATATTTTTCCGTCGCCCCTTTTCTGTTGGTGATCTATGATTTGTGGATCTTATGTTAATATTGGGGATACTGAGTCTTAAGGGTAGTGATAGCAGATAATTTTCTAACTGGATTTTATGTTTAAAAAATCGGTAGAATACTGTAAAACGTGAAATTAATGCGTCTCCAAAAGAATGCGACCGTTGGCCCCTAGCCAAAAATGCGACTCAATATGAATGCGACACCCCCTCCTCTTACTTACTTACTTACTTTGGAGATTTAACGTGCGCTTTCCGACTGATGCGTATTTCGCACACGGGCCCGGCCAGGCCATTTAGTGTGTTTCCGAAAGGGGCGAAAGTGGTCTGTGCAACCCAAGAGGGGGGTTTAGGGGTTGCTTATATAGAATTTTGGAATTTTGAGATTTGGAATAGATGCCGATTGGGTTGGGGAGGAGAACTAAGGGAGCTGGGTATGGTGGATGTTTGTTTGTTTATGTGATTTTGATTTGGTAGGTTATTGTGTTTTTAGATGCGTTTTATTAGTTCCGTTTTGATTAAGAATACGCCTACGGCCTTGAAGTTTTCTAGTTTATTTTGTGGGTTTAGTATTGCTTCTAGAGTGAGAGCCTTGTTTAGATTGAGGGTGGTTTGTAATGCGGTTCGATGTGTTAGGTAGTGTGTGCAGTGGATGAGTGCGTGTTCTGGGGTTTCTAGTTGTTTGCAGTGTGGGCAGTTACCTGTAGTGTGTTTTTTTTTTTAGGTGGTTATTTAGGTTGGTGTGTCCTGTTTGGAGTTTAGTGATTACTCTGTCGATATTTTTTTGATTGATGGAGAATTTTTGGTTTGGTTAGTGGTTTGCTGAGCACTTTTTTGATTTGGCTATTTGAGTTTAGATATAGGTTATGCCATTTTTGTGATTTTTTGCTTGTTTACACTTTTAATTTCTGATTTTGAGATGGGTAAGTTTAAGCTTATTTCTGGGATTTTGAGGGATAGTTTAGTTGCTTTATCGGCGTTTTCATTACCGTATATTCCTACGTGGGCGGGTATCCACAAGAAGGTTATTTGTTTGCCTGCCTCCCTCCTCTCAAGCATCAGTGGATTTATATCTAAACAGAAGTCCTCTGTCAGGTTTACAGGAGAATCCTCACATTAATCCAACCTTACATTAATCCAATCACACACCAAATAGCACCGCTTATTAGCGCTGAGTAGAGTACTTCAGCTAAAACAATACGTGCACGCTGGCTCGTGTCGGCCTTTGATGCAGTCGCAAAGAGCAAAGACACCGTGTTGGGTGGCATCTGTCTGGACTTGCAGGTGTGATCAGTGATGACATAAGTGAGTTGAACGCTTGTCTTGACCCCAGCAGTGCCAATTCACAGGATGTAATCAGTGTTTGAATGACATTGTTTATATACTTGTTACAAGTGCTGCTCAATAAACATTGATGTGGAATACATAGTTGTTTGTTTTCAGCGTATGTCTAAGTTGATTTTTCTGCTATCCAAAATGTCTTATTGTTGATATAAATGCGTTGTTTAATAATGCGAGCAAAGACCAGTCGCATGTTTCGCATTTAATTCACGCTCACGTTAATTTCACGTTTTTACAGTACTGCCTTGGGCGAGTTGTGTATCCAACTTGTTCATGTCTGGCTAAACTGATAAAAGATACGTTGTTTAATAAAATATATTTTAAACATTTATATTTGGTAAGAATAACAAATAGCAAACAGGTAATGAAGCACACCAGTAGTGAAGCCAGATATGCAGTATGTATCAAAGGGATGATACAGTTGTGACAAGCTGATTGGATCTTAAATAAAATAGTCTATTGCTTAATTAGATCTTCATAGACAGGCGAGATATATTACCCTTGATCTCTGTTGATCAAAGGTTTGTGATGACGGATTTCTATAGCTTCTGAGAGTTCTCATTTGGTGAAGGGGCGGTCGGGTAGACTAGTGGTTAAAGCGTTCGCTCGTCACGCCGAAGACCCGGGTTCGATTCCCGACATGGGTACAATGTGTGAAGCCCCTTTCTGGTGTTCCCCGCCGTGATATTGCTGGAATATTGCTAAAAGCGGCGTAAAACAATACTCACTCACTCACTCACTCACTTTTGGTGAAGTCCTGATGTTTTGTTGACATATTTGTGTGTGACAATTAAATCCTGTGACTGCCATCGGACTTTGAGTATGAGAATTCGAAATGTGTACAGGGCCACTTAGGACGGGACGTTGTTGTTGTTGCATTAAGTATTTAAGAGGTCGCCTTCTGCCTAGGCAATTTCGGCTGACCTGTCCCTCTTTGGGACTCCTGTGTGTGAGAAGGGTTCACATATCTATTGTGAGTTCGGTGTTCACATAATTTCTGTTTTTGCGTTGATATGATTTCTATTTTCTTATATTGATATGATTTCATTTTTATCCTTGGCTGCTCTGTTTATATACGTTCGAGCAGCTGTCCATCTCTCAGAAATAGAGTTAGTTTGGCCTTCGCTATTGCATCTCTTGGCTTTAGGAGATCTATGACAGATAGCGGATCTAACTGCAATTCTTGTTTTAACCTAGCCCGGGCTGGGGCATGGTCTTGACATTCTAGGACGGGACAAACACACGATCTTTTAAATAGTATGACGCAGGCCTGCCAACCGACTTGCAGGACGTGTTACAAACACACAGCGAATGACTAATCAGGGTGACGCTCAATGAGTCAAGTGTCGTCCCAGGGGATTGTTTACGTGTAAACAGACAGCCCTAACCGGAATCGGGGAGTCGCCTTTCATCTTTATTCTCGGAGCACACGGCGTGCACGTCAACAACTGGAGTTATCTCCCTTGTCTCACAAACGTTAACAGTCCGGACGGAATACAAATCTGGTATTTCAGGTACCCACGGACCTTACATTCAAGGTATTAGAAGGATGGGTACTACCGGCACTCAGCTAGATTCCTCAACGAATAAGGGTGTTAGGTAACATGTTATATACATATGATAGCCTCACGTAAAACGTGCCCAGACGTGTTAGGCAGATATCACCATGTTCTTATGTACAAACACTGGGTAAATATTTAGCGCCATCATGAATGCCTTTTATCATCCAAGCACTTGAAGTAAAGCAGTACTCTACCACTGACCTAGAGGGAGACCGCCTCCATGGTCTAGTGGTAGAGCGTCCGCCCGGAGAGCGGAACGTCCGGGGTTCGATTCCCGGCCGCGTCATACCAAAAGACGTTAAAAGATGGTACTTGTCGTAACCCTGTCTGGCGCTCGGCATTAAGGGGCTAAAACAAGACTGGTCGGCTCGGAGTCAGTATACTGTGTCTGAGTAGGGTATTTATGAATATGAATCGGCATCAGTCCGGACTAGTACAAGCAGCAACACACACACACACACGTGCATGCACGTCGCTATATAAGTGAAACAATCTTGGACGCGACGTTAAACCCAATTTCACCTCACCTCACCTCACCTCACCTCACCTCACCTCACCTCACCTAGAGGGGGCGTTTGAAAAGCATCAGGTTTGTTTGTTTGCACGAAGTTATGGATTCGAGAAAAAACGACCTTATCTCAACCTACTTAATTGTTTGTTTTCAGCGCAAGTACTTGGAGAGGGCATTTTCCTAATTTGATGTGGTTAATCAAACACACTGACTTCAGAGTAAATAATTGTTTATTCGCCGTTTGAGCTCAAACTTAATTCAGGGACATGCTGGAAATGTCTCAACCTGTTGTTCTTTGACATAGTGGTATTAGCTTGTGGACAATATATAAAGAGGGGCACGGGAGGCCCAGTCGTCTAAGGCGCCGCGATCTATGATTGTGGGTTCGAAAGATTTAGTTTCCAGCGTTTTTCGGGAACACGGGTGGCCCAGTCGTCTAAGGCGCCGCGATTCGTTGTGCAGAGTTGCGTCCCTTGGGCACGCCAGAAACCTATGATTGTGGGTTCGATCTCAATTATGTTTCTAGGTTGTCAACACCATACCCGTGCTCGTGGGTTTCACCGAAGTGGTAAACGTCTGAGACCTGCATCACTTCGGTCTTTCCTCCCACATTAAGCTGACACGCCGCGATATAACTGGAATATTGTTAAAAACGGCGTTAAACCCATCTCACTCACCCACTCATACATGAAGATGGCGTATATTTTAGCGATATAAGGCCGTGCTATCTTCGACCGCTCAATTAAAATGTTCAAAATGACAAGTGACCATTGATGCTCGGCCAGACCGGGTGGTTAAGGCACGGTGGCACGGTTGATAACGAGAATCGTTGGTTATTTATCAAACACTGGATAGTTTAGTCCAGAATAAGTATTTACATTCTGCAATACTGCTGTGGCATTTAACAACAAACAGACAGAAAAACGTTTTATTATTTTAAACAACCGATGTTTCCGGTGTCATAAAAAAAAGTTACATGGCAAGATATTACATTTGTTCCCGTTCCTTAACCTTAACCGTAACCTTTTAACCTTAACTGAGCCTTAACCTTAATCCTTTTAACCTTAACTCTAACCCTAACCACTGGATAGTTCGGTCCAGAATGATATTTACATGCTACAATATTGTTAGAGCGTTTAAAGGGTTACATCAGAAGATCTTACAGTTTCGCCCCTTTCTTAACCTCAACCTTAACCTTTTCACCTTAACCTACGTGACCCCTTATGGGATGTCCTTAACCTGTCTGTGTGTTCTCAATAATAATGTGTTGGAGTTATCCTTTGTAGTTATATACTTCTCAAAAGAACTTAAGGATCAGTCGATTTTTTCATATAGTTAATCTGTCGTGGCCAAAAGTCTGGCCCAAGCAAACTAGTCACTGAAAGAACGGATCCATACAAACATGGTACGATGGCCAAATCGTTAGGACCTGACCACTCAATACCCGGCTCCTTGACGCTGTTTTAAACAGTATTTCAGTCAAAACAAGGTAAAACCTGAGTGACATTCATAACATACTTTGTGTATGTTTGCCTGTCTGTCTGTGATTTAACGCCGCACTCAACAATATCGTAGCCATATGACAGTGGCCTGTAAATAATCGAATCTTGACCGACCAATGAAATGACTATCAAGAAGTCGACATTAGCCAATCAGAAAGCAGTTTCCCGAGCTCCAGGGACACGTTTCAAACTGGTGACTTCAGACTATGCTTTGAAAACTATTTTGACAAAATTCTCGGGCTGTGTAAAATCTGTTTCTCATATGTTATCCCAATGAAGCGAGAGATTGACGATGATTTTTCCAGACGTACAACCCGTAAATGTCGTTCGGAATGCCTCGTGTTAACATTTTCAAGGTTGCATGGTTAGAAAACGAATTCCGACTATAACTTTCCTGATCTGGTAAGGGACGCTCTGAACGGTCTGATGAAAGGTCGTTCTGACGTGACCAGTAACGGGTGCCCTTAGATCTTTAGCAGTAGCGAGAACTAAGATCTGATTTAACGAGATGGGACAATCCAGTGATTGATATTGTGAACAACGATCCAGGCCGTCGGGGTACGATGACACGCTCTCAACCAGGTATCCAGCCTGACCACCGATCTCCATTACGACCGGGGGGGGGGGGGGGGTCGCATACATTTGTGAAACCAACGGAAACAAGTATGGTGCTAGTAAACCAAGGATTTGAACCCAGATCCGACAGGAACACGGCGTGCCCAGATAGGAGACCGTTGACTGTTGGGCCAACCTTGTCTCGGAATAACACATAAACAGAGACGTAATATTTATAAAGATCATTTTATTGTGATAAATGCGTTCTATGAACACATAAAGACGACACTTGTGTTTAGATATGAGATCTTAAATAATATTTATGATAAATATATTTATCAAAATATTACATGTATGTAAAACATTAGTTTGTATGGTAAGCAGTTGTATGATGATTATAAATCCATGAATTTCTTTAACAAAGCATTTAATATATGTCAAACATTACATTTTGTGTATTATATACATGTCAATCAGATTGATCTCATTTCCAGAAAAGACCCGTTTGATGATTATATTCCAAGGACGTGCGTTCAGCGCCGTGCAGTCAGCATTCCTCCTTTAGCCATGTGGGTTTGACACTTCCACTCATCAGTAGTGTGCTACACCTTGTTAGAGTAGGCTGCAGGGGGTCCCGGATAGGGTGGGGTTGTTGCGGGTCCCGGGTAGGGGGGTGGATCAAATTGTGACACCATGTGTTGGTTACTGAAGCCGTACTGATCTGAAAATGGTCATATCAAATTGTATTATTAATAATAAATTCATTGCATCGTTTTATCTATTCAAGTTTCAGTGTTTGGCTCCAACATTTTTTCTCAAATTTAGTTTGGATTCTTTTATCTGACAATAACGAGTAAGAATTTCAATACAAACACTGTTTTAATTATGTTATGTGGGGGGCACTTGGTCCCAAGTCGTCTTAGGCGCCTCAATTCGCTGTGCAGAGTTGCGGCCCTTTGGCATGCCAGAAACCAATGTTTATAGGTTCGAATCTCTGTTCGCCCCGATTATGTTTCTGGCTGAATCAGCACCATCGGTTTCACCAAAGTGGTGAACGTTTGAGACCCGCATCACTTCGAGCTTTGATCCCACCGCTTATAAAGCTGACATGCCGTGATAAAGCTGGAATACTGTTAAAAGCCACATTAAACCCAACTCACTCACTCACTATTATGTTATGCTTAGTAAGCAAGTGATGATGATTTGTTTTGTTTGTTTGTTTGTTGTTTAACGCCGCACTCAGCAATATTCCAGCTATATGACGGCGGTCTGTAAAATAATCGAGTCTGGACCACACAATCCAGTGATGAATACCATGAGCATCGATCCACGTAATTGGGATCGATGACATGCATCAACCAAGTCAGCGAGCCTGACCACCGGATCTCGTTAGTAAAACGGGATCGGGTGGTCAGGCTCGCTGACTTGTGATGATGAATTTGGTTTAACACCGCTTTCTACAGCATTTCAGTCATATCACGGTGTGCCAACCAAATGTGGGTGCAAAGTGATGAAGGTTTGAAACGCTATACCAACGATATATAAACGATATGACCGGGCATGGCACCGATAAACCAAGAAACCACACCATGACGAATCTGGGATTCGAACCCATGATCCTAGTTTCTTGACACTCCAATCTCTAGACAGCAAATTCCATGCCCCCTTGTAATGTTTAGCGTAGTCACGTGGATCATCCTTACTCTGGGTGCTCCCAACCACTGCAACGGAAGTCGTCCCGACCGTGTGCATCACAGGTGGAAGTCTCCGGTTGTTATTTGCATAAGAACGTCGACAACATGCGCCTATGATGCTGAGGACAACTGCCAGGCATGCGCAGATGATACCAATACCAGCTCTGAAATAATAATAATAATAAAAATAAAAATAATAACAACAACAACAACAACAACAATAATACACATTCTCCAAAAAGTTCTGGGTGGGTTTGACTAGGCAGCGCTTCCTGGGAGAAGTCCCATTCGCTGTCTGGGCTGCGTGTAGAGGGGGCAAGGGCCCTGAGCTGATGATGAGCCTAACCAGCCTGACTGTGCCAGGATCACCCAAACCCTCTTTGCTGCATTTTTTATTTTAGTCTGTAAATAATAATAATAACAACAATGATAATAATGATGATGATGTGTTGGGGCCGATCAGCACTATATCGGGGTACGGGCACACAGTGCATCTGTTGAAGTTCAGATTTGGCATTTGTCCATGAAGTACTATTCAGACACTAAATACCCGTTCTGGTCGATTCGGCCGCCTCCATGGTCTAGTGGATAGAGCCTCTGTCCGGAGAGCGGTGGTTCGATCCCCGGACGAGTCATACCAAAAGACATTTAAACATGGTATTTGATGTTACCCTGCCTGCCGTCGTCCTTACGGTAAAAAACAAGGTTGGCTCGAAGTTAGTATTATGTTCCAGGTATTAAGAAGTATTTTGTTCAAGGCATCAGAATTGAAGTGTATTAATTTGTTTTTCAAATGAACACAAATTCATTCTTCTTCTTTTAAATTGCTTGTCCAAAATCTTCGAAGCAGTTGAGCTACAATTTGCATTTACAATTAAACGAATGGTCTCCGAAGATATTCTTAATTGTCTCCTTCTTAAAATGTTATGTATATCCATAACTTCTCCTATGCCTACGTGTTCTCATGGATGGAGAGGGTCTGCCCCCGTCCTGCCAAATGAAGTGGGAAGATGGTACTTGTTGTTACCCTGCCAGGTGCTCGGCATTAAGGGGGATAGAACAAGGAGTGGTCGGCTCGGAGTCAGTATACTATGTCTGAGTGGGGTATCCATATCAAACTGCAACATGGTATCTCAGTGGGCTATCACACACAAATTAGTCATTCTGTCATTTGTCCAGACTAGTACAAGCGCGCACACACACACGAACACACACACGAACACACACACGAACACACACACACACACACACACACACACACACACACACACACACACACACACACACACACACACACACACACACACACACACACACACACACACACACACACACACACACACACGTCAATGCATGTCGTTATATACGTTTAATAATCCTAAACGCGTGTTAAAACCCATTTCGGGGCGGTCGGGTAGCCTAGTGGTTAAAGCGTTCGCTCGTCATGCCGAAGACCCGGGTTCGATTCCCGACATGGGTACAATGTGTGAAGCCCATTTAAGGTGTCCCCCGCCGTGATATCGCTGGAATATTGCTAAAAGCGGCGTGAAACCATACTCACTCACTCACTAAAACCCGTTTCACCCAGCCCGGAGAGCGGAAGGTCCGGGGTTCGATCCCCGACCGCGTCATACCAAAAGACGTTCAAAGATGGTAATTGTTGTTACCCTGTCTGGCGCTCGGCTTTAAGGGGCTAAAACAAGGACTGGTCGGCTCGGAGTCAGTCCGGACTAGTACAAGCAGCCACACACACACACACACACACACACACACACACACACACGTGCATGCACGTGGCTCTATAAGTGCAATAATCTTGGACGCGACGTTAAACCCAATTTCACCTCACCTCCAAGAGTAAAGGTGTTATGTCAGTTTTGATAGGCTTTGTCATATGACCTTAGACCTTTTATATCGCACTTTTATATCGCACTTTTATATCGTACCATTAAAAAATACCTGTGTATCTCCCTTTATCCGGACGATTCAGTTTCCAGTGAATAATCAAATCTCGGATTGACGAATCATGGTTTAGAGTAATGTCCCTTTACTTCTATTTTGTTAAGCTCCTCACAGAGATGATAGGTCACCACAACCATGCTCGCAACCGACGGGCCATTATGTTTACAAACAAGTGGACCTGTGAAGATTCCGGGGTAGAATAGGTCTTCAGCAACCCATGCTTGCCGTAAAAGGCGACTATGCGACTAGAGGGATCGGGTGGCCAGGCTCGCTGACTTGGTTGATACATGTCATCGATCCCAATTGCGTTGATCGATGCTCATGATGTCAATCACTGTATTGTCTGGTCCAGACTCGATTATTTTACAGACCGCCGTCATATAGCTGGAATATTGTTGAGTGAGGCGTTAAACAACAAACAAACAAATACAAACAAGTGATGACTGCCGTGACGCCGAATGCTCTTACCCCTGCCAAATTACATTCTTTGTTTGTCAGTTTGAATTTCGGTTTCATTACAATTATGTAACTGATATAGTAAGAATGTAAGGGTGAAGTTGGTTTATTTTCCGTTTGCCTGCAATCTCGAACCAATCTGATTAAACATACGAAAAGGTAATTTTATCTGGGAAATATGGTCAGTCGTAAACCTTTTCGAAATTCACTTTGATGGCATTCCAAAAGAAATAAACAAAAGTACAAATGATACGGCATTTGGGGTCAGGGAAAGTGTCTTATCATGGCCGCACCCACACTGGTGGCAGTGATGTTACCGAAAGTGTAACGGAGGTGTCACGCGCTGGTCATGATAAGGAGCTCGTTACACTGTGTTCACACAAAGATACTCCGGAAGAAGGAAAGACGTCACCCAGTTATCAACCGGCCGCGGAAACCAGTCAAGGTTGTATTAAGTCCTCTTCAAGTGTCCTTGACCTTCCCAATATTTGTCGAATTTGCTTTTTATTGACCTTGACCTGTCTTAAATAGATAGCTATTTCATTCAGTATACGATCAGTTCAATTTACAAGAAGAAGGATTCTACCAGAAATCATCTCAAGCAATATTGTCATTCGTGACCAACTCGTGTTATTCCGGGACAAGCCGAATAGCATTCGCGACCAACTCTCTTTTTGCGACCGGGTTCCGTATTAGCGCAAACGGGCATACCTAAAACAATTGTCAACTCGTTGCGTTATGGTTCACATATATTTCCCCACATATCATATATATGTCAGATGCAATTTAAAGCTCATCTGGACATGCGGAATTATGATTGAACACATTTAGCTGTGTCTTGGGTATATTTTTAGATGCAATACATATGTATAATCAAAAATTATTTCTGAGGGATTCTTTGACGAAGAACTTGAAATCATACGCGCATTCTGATTGGTTTGTTGTATTTTTGCACATAACATTCATCGATAGGGGGACGAGTCTTCTTGCAGGTTACGGAAAGGGTCGAGTGGTGACGAATGGCAAAATTGTGTGTCGGAGTGTAGTAAGTGTTACTGTATAATATTATTAAACTTGGCTAACTCTCAGCTAGGTTGGCCCCGCGACTAACCCGCCGAAATTAGCTGTACAGCCATGTGTCCCTAACGCGAGTCAGGATCCATTGTCACGAGTCAGGATCCATTGTCCGTTAGTCCGAAAATGATCCTTTGTTGTCAGGGGTGAGTGAGTATGGTTTTACGCCGCTTTTAACAATATTCCAGCAATATCACGGCGGGGGACACCAGAAATGGAATTCTCACATTGTACCCATGTCGGGAATCGAACCCGGGACCGCCCCTCGTTGTCAGGAGAAACCCCGTGGGTTTCATCAAGGTGGTGGACCTCTCATATGTCGAAACTGAAAGGTCGCGAGACAAATGAAATACTGTTCAAGAGATTGTTACACACACACACACAAACACACACACAAACACACACACACACACACACACACACACACACACACACACACACACACACACACACACACACACACACACACACACACACACACACACACACACACACACACACACACACACACACACACACGCACACACACGCACACACACGCAAGGAGACACACACAGATACACTGTCACTCACACACGGACATATACACATCAATACCGTCTGCGTGCATAATAAACGTACGCGTGTTAATGACCCCGAGGATGGACACACACACACACACACCTAGACCATTGACTTACCCATTACTCAAACAGCAGTAAACATACAACGGATGCTCACAACATCCGAAAATACAGGTGATTGATTCGTAGGTCCCGTAGCAAGTTTCGGCAAGCGCACCTGGAGAACAAACAAATAACAATGACGCGGTGTAATCTCCCTCGAAAATATGGCATGCTGGATCTATCACTGAGCCAAAGCTTGCCTTTTTGCATGTAAAATCAGACATAAATCATTACATAAAGTAGTCCAAGTTACAATAACCTTGGACGACGTTAACGAACGGTTACGATACGTTAATATATCGGTATGTCGTAAATGTAAAAGTGCCATTTGGTGTTAACAAAATGCTCGAACTGTTACAGACTTGGTCATGACATTAGTTGTCAACTATATACACAGTGAATTGAACACGCAAATAAGGTACTCTCTCTGAATAAATGTTCATGAACGTGGTCCATTCTGAAATTGCCAAACATCTAAATTACCGTTTCCCTATGAAATGAATATGTAACATCTACATACCTATAATACAGCTAAGTAATATCCATAAGGGCAAGAGAATATTCGCAGCCATTTTGAATACTGACGACAAACCGAGTGAGTCAGTTTCCTGATAACACGACTTTATGTGTGTGCTGATTGTCAAATTGGGTCTGGCGTGTCTGTGTTTCCACGAAGGTAAAGATATCGCAAGGAAAACACTGGCCACATATTTCGAAACTTGGACGTCATGCAATTCGGGTTACATTGCGCAATAATGAAGTTTCAAGCATTCTATTTTAGTTGCTCATCTCATGGGTGTGTTTTGTGCAAACAAATTTTTGCATAATATTTTGTTTATGTATGTATGTATGTATGTATGTATGTATGTATGTATGTATGTATGTATGTATGTATACATAATGTGTGGGTGTGTGTAGTATATATATATAACGCAACATTTTAATTTAGTTTCATAGTCATATACGGTAAATCTTTAAATTAATGCGTCTCCAAATTAATACGACAGCTGACCCATACCCAAAAATCCGATGTAGATAGATAGATAGATAGATAGATAGATAGATAGATAGATAGATAGATAGATAGATAGATAGATAGATAGATAGATGTGTGTGTGTGTGTAACTATGAAACAACATTTAAATTATGTGTGTGATAGTTTATTTCGTAACATAAGCGTACTTATCGTGAAATACAAATTGCGCAACATGCATATTGTCAACGGGAAATAACCATACTTATAGTTAATCTTTACGATAAGATACAGCACTCCCACAACCGGACCACTACCCACCCTATCACGCAGAACATTTCTATGTGACAATCCCCAGTGAAGATTCATAACGAACGAAAAAGTTATATCACGTTTCTTCTATTCCTAAAAATACTTTGCATTTGTGAGTATACCAGCATAGAACAATGTACAAGGATGATACTGTCACGCCTATTATTTTGTTTGTTTGTTTGTTTGTTTGTTGCCATAGCCGTACTCAGCAATATATGACCGTGGCCGGTAAAGCGACGCCCATGAGGTGCGATGACATGCATCAACTAAGTCATTGAATCCGACCACCCGATCCATTTGGTCACACCCAACGACCGGCGTAGGTTTCTTGGGACCAATTCTAACCCGGAATCCCGAAGTTATTATTTTTAACACCAAAGTAAAATTTGAAATAAAACTGCAAAAACCTTTCCATGAGAAAAAGAAATCCATTTGCAAATTCCGTCTGTATCACGAACGTGTGTTAGTGATGACACTAGGTGTTCGCCAGAGGGTAAGCGAATCCTGCCCCAACCGCCACAAACACATGCAAAGACAAATCGATTGGTCAATTGAAGAAAAACATGGGAATCTGTGGCACAAGTCAATACAGGGAATTGCATTGGACATCATTATTGTAACTGATGCGTCGAATTTGAAATGTCCTCCACATATCCAGCATAAAACGATTTGAAGGCCTTGCCTTGAATTTTATAACCTTGGTCGAACAACTTTTGAGTTAGTGAGTTGGGATTTAACGTCACATCGGCAATGTTTCAGCCATATGGTGACGAGATCAATTGATACATCAATAATAAATACATTTTGACAATTTAAAACCTGTCGACAAAGGACAGTAAAACAAACAAAACTATCACAGGTATGAACATACAACTAGCCTGGAACTGTAAAAAGATGTAACAATACACAAGATATGATAAAACCGGGCTACTGATCGTCAACCACTGAAGATAGATCACCATACTGGGGACCATGGGGACTTACAGCACCTTTGCTACCTGCATGGACTAACAACTTTTGAACAAGAGTTGTATGAAGTTCTTTGACATCTTAGTAGAAAGGGCGTACCTCAGAAGCTGGGAAATGTAAAGGCAAGAGTTGCTCAAATATTGCTCGACATAAAGGGAAAGTTGACTATTGGAAAGTGAAAGGTAGATGGCTACTTGGCTATTATTGAAGATATCAGATAAATGACATACCCGGAGCTTAAATTAAACTTCTTTGCATACTTGGCTTATGCCGAGGGGAAATTCCGATTCATATGCAGAAAGAAACATATCAACTAAAGGACTCACGGAAATGAAAAAAACCTGTTTTTTCGACCTCAGATCTTAAATAAATGCAGTTAATATACAAAATATGTAAATATTCAAACAACTCAATTAGTACTAATTGGGCCTTGGCACAAATACAGCATATCACAGGTTTTTATGCCTTTTTACAAGTAAAAGTGTGTAAAAATGTGAATAAAACAGACTATTGTGAAACAGGGCATAACCAGGTGTAAGTAGATCAAGGTGAATGTCCATGACCTATGACACCTTGACGACAGGTGAGAACAGGTGCATAATGCCTATAGTCTGTTTCTGCTATGTCAATCTGGACTTAGTTTTATTTTTGAATGTTGAAAGTGACGACTAATTACCTCCTGTAAAGTACATTTTGTATTGTTCACTGAGATCAAACTAGCAAATCCAGACTAGTACTTTTCGAGTTGTTTTGTTATTTCGTATTTACAGCGACGTAACACTTTGCGTCGATTTTTAAATTGAGAAAAACAGTTTTTTTCCATTTCCGTGAGTACTTTAGAAAGAAGGCTAGCACACTTGGTGCCCATGGGGATGCCAACTTTTTGTCTAAATATCTTACCGGCATATATGACACAGATGCTGCCACTTTTATCAACGAGTGTTGATATATTTGATATCAAAAGAAACGGGGGTAAGATTTTATTTATCATCCAACATCATTCTTCCAACTTTTTCAATTTGTAGATAGTAATTAGCAGTGTCTTCAGTGTAAAAATTACTGCTAACAGCTTCAGTAGCAGAACCATTAGTGATGTCATTTGATTGTGACGGCATGTAGCCAGTGACGTAAGATTGGTCTGCAAAGCATTGTGATGTAATTTCATTGCAGCGATATCTACAGTGTAGATATCTCATCCAAGCGATATCTCCTGTCGGAGCCAGTTTTGGATGATAAATGTATGTAATTCCTAAAGATGGTTTCGTTCACACGATTAGATAAAACTGCATTGCCAACTAGCATCAAGTCAATATTTACAATAATGTAATGAACATGTACTGTCTGTTTTGGGTAAACACAATTTTTTAGGGTGATCCTGCATGAATTTAGAATCAACCCTATACAAGGGGAACCATTCAACTTAGCAATGTTTAGATTGAGTGCTGCTAGCAAAACCTTGTACACTGCAGCACTCTCGGTATGATTATTTGGTGACATTCTCAATTATCCATATCAGAAAAAGAGTATCACTGGTTTGCAGCGCACCTTAAAATATAAAGGATATTGAGTGGCAACAAAATGTCTCCTTTGACTCCGTTTCGAGATGAGGGAAACATGATATTTCACTCGACACAAGAAATATCCAACTAATCATATACTTTTTGTGTCGCTGTCCTCCGGAAAATTAAATTATTTCCTTACAATGTAAAACCTTGAAATGTAAATTCTCCCCACCTGAAACACAGGGACGTTCACTAACCCTTGTATTTACGACTTTAAAAAGTCGTTCTGTGTTTGCAAAATCTTAAAAAATATAAACAAATGTAAAATAACATATTTAGGATCATGAAAATTCTTTATCATACATTTAGATATGATAATATACAAAAATCAACTTTCA